GATTCTCGATCATTTATTAATTAACTATATGACCCTTTCGTCTTCTATTTCTTCCACTGTATGTCACATTCTTTCATTTCTTTGGTAAATAAGCCTGTTATTATTTAAACAACGAAAGAAACCTATCTATTCACTAAAAAGTATGAAGATGTTTTAGTGATAAAGACTTTGTTTTTGATGATAGAATTTTCTTAAGCTATACAATCATATTAATGGGTAATTATTTATACATATATTAGTCAATAGTAAAATAGAAGAGAGTTACAAAATCATCAAAGGTGGTCGACTTTATTCGTGTTGAATGTGTAGTTTCAACTTTTAATGAAGTAATCAAAGATTATTAAAAGAATTTAGGTAGTGAATATAATAGTCCATAAACAGAAGGGTGTTACTGGAAAGTAAGTAAAATTATCGAAAGTTTATGTATTGGATAAAATGGGTGCTAGATACGTTACCAATAAGCTAGCTAAACCGTGGTTTACTTAGAACTGAGATATTTTCACTGAGTGATCAGAGGTGTTTCTTCTTACCATGGCATATAATGACAATGGTTAAAATCCTACATGAAATATCAGCACCCTTGAGATTACAGACATAGAGTGGTGACGAATGATAACTAACATAAATTTCCAAATCTAAAATTTCCCACAGATTCCCTACAACCCTATTAGCATCAAACAAAGTTAGCTGTGGCCGTATTGTAATTTGATTGATAGAATCTGATCAGTATTGAGAACTAGGTGATGTAACCTTAGCTATTACCATCTGAATAAACAGTGCAAACAAATTTTCGTTTATACATCTATGTTATTAATTGTAATTTGACTGAAGTTTCTGAGTTCGGGTCCCTAATGTGGGATCGTGGATACACACTGCTAAGGAGTCCTATACTATGACTAAATGACCGTTTAATGCTTCTAGGTTTTCAATGATACTCTCGCTTAAATCGACTCATGAATTCAACTATTAAAACGTACATATTTGTTAGAAATGAACGATCAAAACACTTATATTTTGTATCTATTTCTTTTTTATTAATTTACCAGAACTAAATGGAAAAAGAAATTATACTGGTTGAATTCTGCAAGCCGATTATCAGTAAATTCTGTTAAACACGAAAATAGTTCATGGTCAATATCTAATAAATCCACTACGAACAGTGAACAACAGTCTGTAGTAAATAACTATTATACAAGTTTTATACCTACTCAATTTCATTGATGATAAACTGATCACAAGCTCTACTAATCCTCAATTTGTATTTTATCTATTGTCTTTATGAAATAAACAAATATATCAGAATTTTAATTGTTTTTCTAAATAACTGTATGTAGGCGAGACTATAATTTATGGACGATATAATCAGACATAAGCAAACAGGTCTTGGATTTTGGCTCGAAATTCATTCATCCATCCGGCTAAATAACATAGCCTATGTTGACACAAAACTAATAATTACACAGCAAACGTCTATACGTACTTTATTTCGTAGTTTACTTAAATATCACATAGCAAAAACTTGTGATTACGACTGCTAAGCGTATTCTGTTTACCATTTATTATAGAGATAGTCAACTCTCCCAGGCAACTCGTACTTTGTCTTTCCCTAATTTTAAACTAGTTTTTCCTCACCAAACGTTACGATGAAATAACCTCTTATTTTTGATTGTGTCAAACACCACTTCTATTACTATTTTGTTTATTCTTTACCACGCTACTCTATCAGCCTGTTTTAAAGGAAGTTGTTAATTTGATTATGCCGAGTATTTGTATGCTTAATAGATTACTTTCATCGTCAGATATAACTTCTCGTATTTAACACTGTTTAACGAACACTGGATCACCAGTGTAAGGGCGATTAAGCATTGGGAAGACATTTTAAACAAGTACATTTTTGAAGTTAGACTGAGCTAACAATAATAATAGCTTTTAAGCCAATAGCAGAAAGGAAGGTGCGTTTGTGGAAACTCCTTATTTGTTGAAAACGTAATTTTTCATCCACATAACTCGAGCAGAGTGAAAACTATCTTTGAACCCAGCAAGTAATATTTACAGTGTACTAGGAAATTGTTTGATGTAGATGTAAGGTTAATAGTTTGTTAGCCATATGGAATAAATTTCCATAATTTTGTCTTTACAAAAACAGTCGACAGTTGTCTTTCTATAAAAAATAGAACATTCTATTATGGTCAAAGAGTGGCTTGGTAACCAAAATAATGCAATTACTTAACTTTATTTTACAAAGTTTAAAGTAATATTTTTAAAAAACTGTTGTTTACACCAAGTGTAACAAAGTAAAAATTTAAAGACACTTTTCACTCAGGTTTTTCTTTTAAAAAATCGATTAATCTAACAAATTCAAGCATACAAAGTGTGCTTAGATTACGGGTGTACACTGAAACTTGAAAATTACACCACTACACAATATAATTTCACAATGTTCACGTTATACATATAAATTAATCATATGTTGTGAGACATATCTTGTCCTTTACCAAGCTCACTGCTGACTTGTGAATCATGTGATTATTATCTATCATTCTATCAATAATAATTAGATCAATTCTAAATGCTGCATTATATATCTTTATGTTTCTATGTATTACTATTGTTGTTTGTGACAAAAAACAAAAATGATATTATATGCTGAGATGAATAGTGGCTACCAGTGGAATCCAGGACGCGCGTCTCGTCCTATGTGGGACTCGTTAGCCGGATATACTTGCATCTCCGAGTTGGTATTCACTCTGGGACTCGAGCTCAGTACCGTTCGCTTCCACCTAGCTACTGAGTCCTGATAGCCACCTGCTTGTGAAATGGGGTGAAGTTTAAATTCACTTGGTATTGTATTAATAGTTGCAGAGCTAATAAGAGTATAAGCAGTAATCGGGAAGATTAGGGTTTGGAGATGTTATTTAAAGAGTATAATACAGTGAAATAAATTTGGAAAGAGGAAAAAAGGGACATGAAGAATTCAGATTAGAATTTCGGAGAACACAGAGAGTGGATGCACCTGCGCCATTGCAAACGATTTTGAGCCATGTCATTCAGGGTCTCTAACCATCGGTTGCTATCATCTCGCGGTTCCCAACCAGGTAGTCTACACCTACCGACATGACTCAGACTAGTTGTTAGTGACTTCATGGATTTGTGCCATGTTTTGGTCTGGCCGCCCCTAGCTTTCTTCCAACCTACTCATATACCACTGAACATAGCACGTCGAGGCAGTCGGTCGTTGGGCATACGTAACACATGTCCCAGCCATCTCAACTGATGAAGTTTCACTACTTCATCAATTGATTTGCCATCCTTACCTAGTACCCGTTTCCTAACAACTGTGTTACTTACTCGATGGTCCCATGATATACGAGCAATGTTTCGAAGACACTTATGATCAAATACTAATAACCTACGGATATCCTCTACTCTTACCGGCCACGTTTCACTACCATAAAGTAGGACGGAACGAACTGATGAGCAGTAAACACGTCCTTTGGTTGATAGACGGATATCTCGCCTACGTCATAAATGACGCAAGTTGGTAAAAGCTAGTCGAGCCTTCTGTATCCGTGCTGAGATTTCGTCACACACTAAACCACAAGGGCTGATGAGACTTCCGAGATAAGTGAAGCGGTCGACACACTCAACTACTTCACTCCCTATCACTAGTTCGGGTGTCGATGCAACCCAATCCTGAAGCAACATTTTGCATTTCGAGGGGGAGAATCGCATCCGGAACATGCTTGCATTGTTGTTTAGAGTGGTCAGAAGACTCTGCATTTTGTCAGTGTCTTCACCAAATAAAACTATGTCATCAGCATTTTCCAAGTCAACAAGTGAACCTCCCGGTAGAAGTTCAACCCCTGGAAATTTAGACGAGGAAAGTGTTATCTCTAAAAGTACGTCGACGACAACGTTGAACGAGAATGGAGAGTGGACAGCTCTGACGAACAGCACTTGAGGTAATCAATTCTGATGACAGTTCGCCATAAGCTCTCACTCTACCAGTTGTGTTCGAGTAGAGAGCCTGTATAAGGTTAATGTACTTCTTTGATACTCCTTTCAGTGATAAACACTGCCATAGAACCTTATGATCAACAGAGTCGAATGCTGCTTTAAGGTCGAGAAATACTACGATTGTGGGGCGTGTGAATGTGTGTCTATGTTCTAGAACCTGACGTAGTGTGAATATCTGGTCTATACAACCACGTCCAGGTCGAAAACCAGCCTGGTTTTCTCTAATCTGCTCTTCACGAGCTTTGATTAGGCGTCGAAGTATTATTGAGGCTAATATTTTAGACACTATATTAGTCAAACTGATTCCTCTGTGATTGTCACAAGAGGACTTTTGTCCTTTCTTATAGACTGGCACAATCAGTGATTGAGGCCAGTCAGATGGGATTACCTCCAGTTCCCAAATTCTACCTAAGACCTCATTTAATCTCGCTGCTAATACTGGACTACCATCCTTAAAAATCTCAGGAGTAAACCTGTCAGGGCCTGCTGCTCTCACTCGCTTCAGATTTCCTATGGCTTTTTCAACTTCGTAAAGAGACAGAGGACCTACATTAACTTGCCATTCAGGTTGGCTGAAGATCGTGGGAAACCGAAGTGTGGCTGAAGGCCAGTTGAACTGAGAATAGGCAGAGACGACGAAGAGGCAACGACGAGTGTCCCTATCTTTTCGGTTCCTTACTGTTCCGTTCAGTCGGATAGCGCTCAAACGACTGTCTACTGGGATCCACTCTAAGAGAGCTAGTTCTGCCCTAGGACTCAATGCTATACCTACGCCGGCGAGGCCAAGGGAAGCAGAATCAGGGCTTCCAGACACACGAAGTGTGAATCGAGTCGGTTCTTTATTTTGGCATGGTGAGGTCAAGTGAATGACGCTACTCGGATCCTGTATGCGATAGGCAAGCCCGACCACCGCGTCAAGGTAGCAGCTTCGGTCGGGATATATATATATATATATATACGGTTAAGAAGGGTTAGATTATAAATTTAACGCCACCTCATGTAATCACTATTTTTTAGTCGCATATACCTTCTATGTAAAAAGAGAAATAAATGACCATAGACTAGAAACTACATGATTTAATAAAGATCACATTAATGTAGGTACTTTCACTTTTAATGTATTTCACAATCACGAACATATATAACCATTCATAAATTACACTTCAACTAAATGATATAGAAATCGAAACAATTAGGAATAGTCAATTATTTGGCTAGTTTTTAATCTATAATTACTTAGTATTTTTTTCTTTAAAAAAATAATTAAAATAGGAAAGTAGAACCAAAGGTTAATTTACAAAACAAAATGGAAACAAATAGAAAACATGGATAATTGTGAGTATAAGGTATAACAAAACAAAAATATTAACATAGAATACAATAAATAGTTTACTGAATCATAGATTCTACTTATTTACACAACATAAGGACTATAATAAATAACTATTTACTATTAAAAACAAATAAATAAATAGATGAATAAAAGAATCTAGTAGACAAAAGAAACATTATAAAACATTGAACTTGTAAATTTATATTTTCTCATAATTATATAAATGAAAGTAGAATAATTAATTACAAAAGTAATGGTATGTTATGTTAGAATAGAAATATCAGATGGAATTGCTACTGATCGACGAGCACTTGTATTTCGAATAGAATTTGATTTACTTTTAGGGATATTAATAGTCTCAGAGAAAGCTTCGGAGCCCCAAATTTCTATATTATTTAAGAGAAATAGGAAAAAGAAAGAAATTTACTGTAGGGTCATATATATATACGTGTATACATATACAACGTGTGTTCGGACACAGTGACGATACTTCAATTGGTGTCACCATCTCGAAACACTGGTGGCTTAGACATGTACTACGAATTTCATGTCGTGCATTATTTGTCGATGCTGGGACCGGTTGAGAAAAAAGAAGAGTTGGTCAGTGTATGACACGGTGTCGTGGTATGAAAGAATGTTATATAAGACTGGCTTCTGTTGAACCTTCACGAATCCCTGGTAGAGGTCCTAGAGATAGTGCAACACATTGGCTTCAAATGTAATCGGAAATGGTTCAGAATAGAAGTTAGTGATGATCCTACTGTAACTTAGTGTTACTCCGATAAAACTGCTTTGACGATCCGAAAATTTCAAACATTAACACAAAGGAGATTTTGAAATGGAAAAATACAAATTAACCACTACATATGTACAAACCGAAAGGTTTATTACATAAAACAATAGGGGCCACATGTAGTCTCTTTGTTAGCTAGTGATTAACGTTCATTTATACTTCATTTCTTCCCTCTGAATAAGTGGGCTAATTAACAACATTGGTTTGGAATAAGGGTTTCGCAATTTCTGCAAGTAAACTTTCCGCATCCATGAGACCAATTTATGCACCGGATGTTCACCTTCACTATTATGAAGTATCCCGGCCAAATTGAAGTAGTGAAAAGGAATTACCTGAAAGGGTATAAATCTGAGGCTGTAGGGAAACCATTTCGAGAAGGAAAGAGAACTTTATCACTCACAGCCCTACCACAGTGTTCGTTGGTTGTAATATAAGGTTGTGAAACGCAGAGATTATCTATTTTCATCCTACATCATATCCAGTATCTTTTCCTTAAAATAAGCAATTATTGTTTGAAGATAGTTACAGAGAGTGAGGATAAAAATAGAATAGCACATTTTAGTATTCAAAACACAAGTCATTGGCTGAACTTTTTGAATATTATTTAACAAATATACCTTGTTCCTGTACATGCTTTTTCATAATGGAAAACCAAGCAATGGTTTCTTCTTCATCACTTTTAAATATTGTGCTTGATTCATTTAACTGATCTAGATCATTCTCCATCATTTGTGTTGCTGTGAATTCGAATACTTCAACAGAGGAACCGTTTTGTCGTAGTTCTGATAAATGGTGTCTAGTTGAGGAGACATTTCTATCCAAATGACAAGTAGCAATACGAAATGTAAGTAGCTGAGATGAAAACACACATGGTTGATGACATTCAATTTTGTTATCTTTGTTAGAATCGTTAACTGAAATAAATGAAGAAACTTTAGACGAATGCGGTGTTAAATATTGCAGTTCTCCAAATTTAGTTAAATCAAATAAGCTGCTTGTATCTATTTTGTGAGCAGTTGTTACTTTAGGAAAAATCCTGCGCACAGGTTCTACAGAACGAGAAACTCTATTATATCTCTTCCTAGAGTCCACGGGGCTAGGTAAGGGTTTTTTAAAATCTTTTCTTATTGGAGACAATGAGCTTTTAGAAGCAGACATAAACTTTTCCACATTTGGAGATAAACCATCAGACTTTGTAATGGATGCTGCTTCTGACTGACTCCGTAGGTTGTTTAACTGTGATTCTAGGATATTTGTTTCGTCACGGAAATGTACATGTTCAGTTTTCGAAAGATCCAAAATGTTATCAACAGACTGACAATTCAATAATCCAGGTTTATTTGTAGAAAAGAAAGATTGTGTGGCGTACGAATGATCATTAGAACTTGAACTGTTAGATAAACATGATACATCTATTGCTGAAAATGCTCGTTTCTTATCTAAAGAGACATCATTTACATCTGGATGATGGCACTTGACATCGGAATTCGGTCCATCATCCTTAGGTGAAGGAATACTACATTCATTTGATTTATTGAAGTCATTCCCAGAGATGTTTGGCGATTCATTGGTTCTTTGAGATACACTTAGCTCAGTTTGTCTTAGGACGAGCTGTGAATCAAGAAAGTCCGTTTCCTGATCACAAAATAAAAAACATAATTTGGTATCATGGACATCATTCAAACAGACGAAATATGAAAAACGTTTTTTACGGATACTGAAAGTCTTTCTGAAACCACATAAACCATTTAAACGTTAGCATACTAATGCAGATCGGATAACACATAGGGTTGGCTATATCTTCAGAAAGTCTTAATATCGATGTCGGTTGTCTATCAGAGAACCGTATTCAAGACTAGTGAAGTACCACAAGTTCGCTGTCCATCTGTCGCTTCGGAAAGCTTGTTTCACGTGCGTTTATCCGGGGATCATGTGGCTCTGCATCTCAAACCTGGACTCAGACTGGTCACATTGCGATTAACTATCACTGGAGTGGTTTGTGTGTAAGACTGCCACTCCTCTTAGACTCTGATCATGCCCTTGTTTGCGCTAACCTAACCTTACGTTTCAGTAGCCAACAAATTCATCGTTCTAAATGGATCGATGTCACCAAATTGGTTGCAGCTTCTGTTGCAACTAAATATCAAACCAAGCTAGGTTCAAGGCGAGCTACCATGCCACCGAAAAGTATAGATGAGAATCGGCTGCGATCGCATGACGCCATGAACATGGTGAGTGAAATTGCTTGCGGCTTCGCGACACGTCCCGCTTATTAGCACTAGGTTTCTTTAGGCTTTTTACAACCCATTGAAGCTCGTTGATCTACTCCGGGCGACCGCGAGTCTGACAACAAACGAAAACTGTTGCGTAATGAAACTGTGCAAAGCTTGTGTAAGGACCGAGAAGCCTGGTGGTCGGAGAGTGCCTATAAAAAACAACTGATCAATAAACAAATTTAACTGGTAAGCAAAATAACCCACCGGTCCACTTTGAGAGGCCACTTTTGATATAAATAAAAGCAGAACAAACGGCCTGCTAGAACTTCTTCCTAACATTAAACATAGAGATCGGTGATAAGATATTCTTATTTAAAATATTTCGGTATTATTTAAAATTTATTATACGGTGTTGTGGAAACTGTTTAATTTTAAGTGTCACATTACGAACCAGCTTAATCTTATCCATATTCACGACCTCACCGAGGATTGAAACAAGGGACCTTAAGTATACGCAGCAAGGCTCCAACCGTCAGAATACTGTGTTAACATCCAACGATTTGCATTCACAAATTCAAAAGCGATGACTAGATTGTAAATGTATTTACAAATAAAGAATTATTTGCCTTATTATATGAATTCAGTAATGACGTGTAGATTTACTCTCACCGGATGCTTTAAATCAAACCGAGTTCTATATCGAAATATGCAACTTTATAAAATACACACCAGTCAAATAGCTTGATATAAATTGAATGGAAGAGATAACTTATTATTAAAATTTTAATTTTTCGACATTTTGATGATTAACTCAACAAGAGATACTTACTGTATGAATAGGTATAATTAGATCAGCATAACAATTATATGATGACAATAAATTACGATTGATTCCAGAACCCAATGAACTATTAATTGAAGTATGGTCAAATTCATTTTGTGCAGACGAATTGTTTCTTGATAAATCAATCGTTCGAAAGAAAGATGTTGTTGGATTTTTCAAAAAATTATTTTCATGAGAATGTTCTTTAGGAACAATGAATCTTTTATGATTTTGGATAAAATCTTCAGAATTCGCACCAGTTGGATTAAAACAAGAACCAGTTTCATGGTTATCGCATTTTGACACTTGATTATTCTGTTTGTCCAAAAAAAGTGGTAAGTTCTTTGTAACAAAACTTAATGATAAAAAACATATAGAATTAATAGACAAACACCCAAACGCCCTGGTACGTCAGAGGGTCGAGAGAGTTCATCTTCCCTCTCAAAATACTCTCACATAACCACGAGTATACGGCCATTGCCATGGAAGTCCTACTCACCAACTGCTCCGGTTTGGGCGCCCGGAAAGTATTCCAGACCTCATACATATCGAACGATTTGTGTGGCGCATATGTATTTAATACCTTCGTATAACGATGTTTGTGTTTAAATAAAATACAAGCATACTGACGAATAAATATAAGTATCTGAATATAGGTTAAACGTCTTTTAGTTAAGATTAAACCGATAACTAAACTGTAGCAGCTCACAAATAATTTATGAATAGTGGATAAAATATTCGAAAATGTTGATACATTTTATCATACACGAATGACGTCTACACTCTAAAAGCTATATTAGTTGGAAACTGTATTACTAGACGTTAAGTATATGTTGTAAGACAGAGGAAAGTAATATTTCCTTCGACTATGCTTTCGAAGTTAACTGCGAACCTTAACGGTAATACTGATTGAACGAAAGTGTCCGAATAATTCACGGTATTAGCTTAAATCACTCGTAAAAATGTGTTTCTTCTTGTAAAAAACAGAATAAATTTATTCAGTTAATTGAGATCACTGTATCTTCTGATCAAAGGATTTCAGGAAGATAGTTTGGGACACACATTAAATGTAGTTGAACAGCCATCGCATATAACTTGTTGGTAGCACTCTTTCATTATTTTAAAACTCTTAAGCGAAACGTATCAATAACCCTTTATGAAACTAAATTAGGTAACTTCAGGTTCACTGGAAAGCAGACCAAGATATCAAGAATGACACATGACTGTTGAAGGTTGAAAACCTATTTGTTAAGTCACGGAGAACAACCACCTTTAAGGTACATAACAGACAAAAGAAAAACCACAATACTGGTCAATGACAAGTTACAGCACGATTAATGAACATATGTTTATGTTTGCTGAGAAAATTATACTTAGGCGACCACACAGCGAATGGAAGGCTGATATACGTAGTAAAATCGGTACTAAAATGTGTTGAAGGTTTTCGCCGAAATGGGACCGAATTTGATGAAAAGAGACGCCATGATCGCAGTAGCTGTTTATTTATATTTTTGAGAGCCACAAAATACATAAACATATCCATCACTTCAGAGATAGAATCAAGTAGTGTTATGGAAAATAAGCCGTCGCGCTTTCTATAAATAAGTCTTGTGAAAAAAAATGGAATGTTGCAACATAATAATGGAACGCTGTGGAACCACTTGTGAGAGCAATCAATTGTCACCTGTCAGTAAGATCCATACCTTTATACTTTATGCCTAACAATATATTGTTATATGTAGGATAAGTTAGAAATATGATGAGAGGCATATACAGTGAGATATTAAGAGCTAATGAAAAGTAGGTGAAGTAGATACAATGAAACATGTTTGAGATTTAGAGCCGAATTAAGAAATTTGAAAACTTTAAAGTAAATAAATAACAGTGTAAAGGTTTATTTAACAGAAAGAGATTCAAAGTGACTTAACAGCTACCTAAACATATGGTAGGTATTGAAGGTTATCAACTCGTAAACTAATGGATGAAAGTAGGTTAATGATTTATTAATGAAATTTGTCAAGGTTAACATGATTTGAGATATATTTTTCGAAACTTTATCGCGTTTTTGCATGTTTACACATACATTATAGAGGGAACTAGTACTTACTGAAATTCGGGATTAATAGAACAATATTGAAATGATGAAAAGATAATAAATTAAGTAAACTTTCAAAAGAGAACGGTGCTACTTGTCAAGAAACTTTAACAAGTTACAACTTACACGACCGGATGAAGAAAATCCATGTGAACTACCTTCATAATGACTTGTATTAATTAACGTAGCCCAAAGGTAACGATCTCGAAGTTCACAACGATAAAGCATCAAAGGCGTCTGAATAGGCGAAGGAGTTAATTTCTGATAATTGAATTTAGTAAAATACAATTTTTTAATAGTTATTACTTGTTGAGGGTAAAAATGCATCACAACGAAAATGAGAAAAGTGAGATAATTGTCTGAACAATACAGTTGCTAAGTTTATAACAATTACGAGAACCTCAAATGAATAGATATTTTAAATTCTTTCAATGGCAAAAAGGTGAAATATTCAGTGACAAAATCAACAAGATATTATAAAGTATCCTGTTAAGATGTTTGAAACCTAGTTTATATTAATGAAACGCATAGTAAAACAGTCTTCTTATTAGTAATGTCATGTAACTTTAAAATGATATATGAACTTTTTAGTGTTAATCAAACTTTATCTGTCCGAATAATTTGTAAGACCTTTTCGCAGTTTTGGCATTGTATTTAAAGATCCTAATTCAATGTAAATCACTCTTAAAGTTATATAGTGTTAAACATAAGTTCCAAAACACTTATCAGATATGAAATCAATTTATTTAATTAGTAAAGTAACACACATGTAATTAACAAAGTGAACGAAATGTATTGAGGATTAGATCAGTAATTAATTCATACTGTAAATATAATCGTATTTTATTAACGTTAATAAGTCAAGTGACTACATCGACTGGTAGAGTTGTTCGTGTGATAAGCATTTCACTACATGAACTCTTCTATTACCGTTAAACGTTTTATTTTAAAAGTTTTTGTTCTAATTCATGACAAATTGGTAAATGGACTTATTCAGTGAGTCGTTTTAATAAACCAACATGATGTCAGTGAATGTACTTGTGGGCAGAAAAAATTCATACAAAACAAAGCTTAAGATGCATTTTGTTTTTATACATGTGAATGAGCTGATAATACACTGTTTAAAATACTGTTAAAATTTAAATGTACGTAAATTATCAAATTATTTACTTCGGCGATTCTAACCAAACAATTAAACTGGGAATCATTAATATTCTGAAGTTGAATGGCTAGTCAACATAGGTATGGGCGCATAAATTGAGATAAAGGGAAACAAGATAAACTATCGATTGAAATAAAAACCAACAGTATTTTGGCTAATACGTTTGCTTACAAAAAATAATTGAATAATGGAATAACTTACACATGACCTTTTTATTTAGAATAGAAGAGTCATGTCATCTATTACAATAGGATGCAATATTTCAATAATTAGTCTCAATCCATTTCGGGGATGAGCTTCAGACTGTTCAGCTTTTAAAGCTGGACGCATATTCTTTGTAGTGCGTAATTTTCTAGTGGGGATGATTTAAACCACAAGAGTAAGTTATATTTGAACAATATGCCTAATGTATTATTTTAAGTTTTCTGGATAGTATATTTGAATGGTCTAACGCGATTCAGAAACATAAACTGTAAGGATTGGATTTTGAATGGTAGAGAAAATCTCTAGTAAAACCTTAAAATGTTAACCGAAAAGCAATAATCTGTGTATTGACGTTTGATCTAATTTATTAGACTGTTACTGTAGAAGTTATTTACATGAAAATGATGCACCGGGGGATAAGTCTACTTCCGATTGCGTCCAAACTATTTGCTCACATCATACTTTGTTGATTATTCAAAACCCGAGAAAGATTGACTCACGAGGAGCAGGCTGGTTTTCGTTCCGGTCGAGGATGTATCGATCATATCTTCACCCTCCGCCAAATGTTAGAACACCGTCATACTTATCAAAGGCCAACAATCGTAATGTTCCTTTACATCAGGGTTGCCTTCGATTTGTTGGACAGGACTGCTCTTTGGGATTGTCTGTTGAAGAAGGGTGTGCCTGAGAAGTTTATTAACATCCTAAAGGCACTATATACAAACACCTCAGGTAGAGTGAAGGCATACAACCACCTCCCTCCATTGTTCCATCCAAGCAGTGGGGTTAGACAGGGTTGCCCAATCTCACAATTCCTCTTCAACTTTGCCATCGATGAGATTCTGGAAACAGCTCTGATGGATGTAAGTAATGGCGGTGTGGATTCGTTGGCTGGAGAAAGACTTTTCGACCTTGAGTGTGTGTATGATATTGTCTTATTGTGCGATAATACCCAAGTCATGCAATCCGCACTTAATCAGTTGGCAATCAGTGTCCGTAGATATGGTATGTGTTTCGCACCTTCGGAGTGCAAAGTACTTCTACAAGACTGGCAGAATTCAAATCCTGTTCTCACCCTGGATGGTGAGCAGATAGAAGTAGTCGAGAAGTTCGTGTATCTAGGTAGCTGCATAAGTGCTGGTGGGGGTGTGAGTGATGAGATCAATGCACGAATAGTGAAAGCCAGAGCGGCTTATGCCAATCTGGGTCATCTTTGGCACCTTCGTGATGTCAGTCTGGCTGTAAAAGGTCGGATCTACAACGCGTCGGTGAGAGCAGTTTCGCTCTACGCTTGTGAAACCTGGCCTCTCCGAGTTGAGGATGTTAGACGACTCTCTGTGTTTGATCATCGTTGTCTATGAAGGATTGCTGACATCCAGTGGCAATACCATGTTAGTAATCCAGAGGTTCAGCATCGTGTGTTCGGGCGCAGAGACGATAATTTAATTGGTGTCACCATCTTGAAACATCGACTTCGGTGGCTTGGACATATTCTGCGAATGCTGTCCCACAGAATTCCTCGTCGTGCATTATTTGCCGACGCTGGGTCTGGTTGGAAAAAGCGGAAAGGTGGTCAGTGAATGACATGGTATCGTGGTATGAAAGCTACAAAGGGCTGTCTTCTGTTGGACCTTCACGACTCCCTGGCTGGGGTCCCAGAGATGGTGCAACACAGTGGCTAGAGACGTTATCAGATATGGCTCAGAATAGAAGCCAGTGGAGATCCTGCCGTAACCTTCTTTTACTTTCTTCATAAAAAGTGGTTGTATCTTGCTTAACTGAAAGAATTCTTTCTGGTTGTACCTTTAATATTATTATTATTACTACACTACCTTGCACTATCCTGTGGTCGTTATTGTTCTTCTTTTTTTCCTTATACGCACCTTACCTTCTTTCTTCTCCTCACATTCACATTGTTTTGTGTGGCGCATATATATTTGGTGCCCCCTTGTACCACTATTCATGTGTTAAAATAGATAAATTGTGCATACGTGTAAGACACAGATTATGATTATCCAATACCGAAATATTTCCATTTTTAGTTAACTACGCTCCAGTTAGTCAGCTACAACGTAGAACCAGGCACATATATGCATCGGCCCAAGTTGCCATACCGCATTAGCACAGCAAGATGAACACCGGATTCATAGGAGTAGTTAAGTCAATGGTGGTAATACATAAAGGAAAGATTGCATATAAGGATATAGTACGGGAACAAAGAATTATTTCGTAGAAAGAAAGATATGAAGTGATTTTCATCTCTTAGTTTAAGGGAAAACTGAGATTGTATACACCGACGCCACTGTGATCGATTCTGAGCCAATCACGGGGATCCCAACCAAGTAGTTTGCATCTACCAACATGGCTCAGACTAGAAGTTAGTGTCTTCAAGCACTGATGACACGTTTTAGTTTGGACGCCCCTAACTTTCTTCCAACCATCCCCAACACCAATTAGCAATGCACGTCGTGGTAATCGGTGCTCAGGCATACGTAACACGTGGCCCAACCATCTCAGTCGATGAAGATTCACCACCACCATTCTTCTGTTTTCGACAATGCAACAATGAAAACATAACAGCCAGCAAATTTTAATGCAAAGCTCGTTAATAACAGTGTATTCTCACTTAACAACCAAGAATATGTGAAACGCGGTGGCATATAATATCACGTAGAGACACTTCGTTATATATTGAATACCTATTCGTTTGAAAACAATCCTGTTATCTAGAGTGAACCACATTATCATAACATAACATTGTGACATTTTTATAAAACACATTGACACAAACCAATTTGAGAATGACAGAAGATACTTTAACGATATACTAATAATTACAGTAAATCAGCTAATATGTACCATGTTTAATATCAGTTTAAATAGATCTTGTCAGAATAAAATATTTTGTACTTATGTAAATAAAATGTTACATGAATAGTCATACATGTCATAACTAAACGATTTTGAAGGTATTTTGTTGGCCATGATACCTGATTTTGATTTCATAGGCGGATGAGTAGTTTCCCCAAAAAACCCAATTATTTAATGGTTTCGTGGTTTTTGAAACAGTCTCCCGATTAAAATCACAGAATGCCACATGAGAATATCAGACTATTCTAGAGTACAATTAGAAAATCTTGAGTTGATTTCTTCATTTATGGAAATATCTAATTTTAATTAAACAAATTAAAATAATTGCGTAAATTATTATTGATACAGTAAAAGTAGGAGAAAAAAAAGATACATTGAATACTGAATGGTTTAACTGTACAAATATTGATACTTACACGAATCCACAGATATCCAGACTTTAATGGTAATTTAGTTGAATGAGGTTGTGCAATAAGTCGATAACAAATATTACCAAATAATGGTAAATCACATATTTCTGATGTTTCATTCGATTGGTCAGTAAATACAGAATTTCTATGTATTGTTGTAGAATTAGAAACAGGTGATGATGAATTTTTACATTCACGTGAATAAACAAGTTGATTACCCATTTCTAGTGTATGTGAAGAAATTTTATTTTGTACATCTTTTAAAGTGGCAACACAACGTCCAATTAAATCAAAATATTGAGATCTAAAATGTACGAATATGAATGAGAAATTAATACGTTTAGAATAGAATAAAAAATCTAACCTATTCAACTTTATTATTTTCATTTATAAGACAACAAACATTCCTACGATTCTGTTGGAGTTATCACGAAAGCCATCTTATTTCAAGGGCTTTGCGAATAAGACACTACATTAGTTTAGCATTTGGATGCAAATATCCCTAAATTGATCTTTCCACGAACAGTTAAAATTATTTATCATCAAGCCAAAGTATTTTCAAATGACATAAATACAAATTACTTTATGAAATCTTTCTTAATGTACGAGAAATAGATAAAACATAGAATATTTGAATAGATTTCACAGAAACTTTACTTGCTACTTTTATCCGCGTATTAGAGGAAAGTTAAACTAACTGGATCACAAACAAAATTCTAATCAATTAATGAACAGTAACCAATATCATACTATCTATATATTAATGTCCACCGAATCCTACCAATCATGACCAGAAAACTTTCTAACAATCCAGTTTGACGATAAATAAACTACCGATCATTTCACTTAATTACATAAACGATATCATGTATATTAGCATAATTATGCTTATAACGCTTAATAAGATTTAGTTAGTTATTTTGTATTCTTGCTTAAAATAATTTAAACAAAACGAAACTCACGAATTTTGATTGATGGATGAGTCGGAATTCACATGCTAGAGAAAAATAAATCAGAGATAATCATTTTACTACTTAAAATAGAATATATGGTCAGATGATCGAAATAATTTGTTAGGTAAGGAAATGAGTACATGGTTATCACAAAATATTATATATATATATATATATATATATATATATATATATATATAAGTCAGTTGAAGCTAGACCACCATGAAAAACCTGGAAGCACTGGACGGCCGTTTCGTCCTAGTATGGGAGTCCTCAGCGGGTTGCAGGATCCTGGATGCGCACTGCTGAGGAGTCATGATTTCAATCTGTGAAAATTTCTAAAAATCTCCACAAACCCCTTCTGATATATATAATTTAAAATTTCTATGAGTTATAATTTTGTTTATGAAATCATATTTGATCAATGACATAACCAGTGCAATGAAAACAACCTATTAGACATGAGACAAAAAGGGACATAGTGTATTTAGGAAGATTGATGGGGGTAATATTAGAATGTAAACGGAATAAAAATAAGTCGAAACCCATTCTGATAATAATCAACTGCTCACTAGTGACTGACTTCAGGAAAAACTCCTGGAGTTCTAGTGAGAAGCCGTTACAAGTGGAGTTCAACCAGGTCTGTTGTGAGATAACAACTCACTGAAGACAATGGTGTACGGTGGCGCAACTTCGTGGATTGGTTGAAGTTAGACATTAACACCATTGGATACCGGCTCAGTGGTCTAGTGGTTAAGTGCTCGCGCGCCAAGCCAGTAGGTCCTGGGTTCGAGCCCAGCGTGGTGCGGGATCGTGGATGCGCACTGCTGAGGAATCCCATACTAGGACGAAACGGCCGTCCAGTGCTTCCAGGTTTTCAGTGGTGGTCTAGTTTCAATCGACTCATGATTTCAACCTGTGAAATTTCTAAAAAAAACTCTCCACAAAACCCATTCTGAAACTATCTCATTAATATGACATAACATAAAACGTACCTCAGTTAATCTCCTAAATATTAACTTGTTAACCTTAATCATAATTATTAAACTTCTGTAATATAATGTTTTTAGATCAAATTAAACATAACGATGATAAGAAAAAGAGAATTCAGCGAAGAAAATTTTCTTTTCGACGAAATCATTTACTTAAGCTGTACATTCGTATATAGTTATATGGAAAATGTATGTCTATAGAAGGATAGAATGGATTGTATCGCAAAAATGGATTCGACAATAAATAACAAATGAGGTTAACGTACTAATCAAGGGGTAAGGAAGAACAAAATTTAAGGATCAGATAATAGTCCAATTGACAGATATGAAGAAAAACGACAAAACAACAAAGGTCATAATAATAGACTGAATAATAAAGAAAACTTGTAAAACGTAATAATAATAAATGATTAGAGTTTAAAGTGCAAAACAGTAATAATAAAAGTGCATTAAAAAAACACCTAGAAACATACCCATTAAGGGAATTAGGGTCAGGGAAGGATGAGAGGTTGGACAAATCGTTTCTGCACGCAAAGTTCAGGCTTTAGTTTGTGGATTGTCAATGCCTCTGCGGTGCATAAAATATTGATTCGAAACCCCTTCGATCCAGTTCATTTGACTCTGTAAACTATTTTAAACGAAGAGTCTTTTGGAGCGATATGTCCACAGTTGATTAAGTGCTCCCGCATAGAACTCGTGATTGTTTTTCGCTCCCCTTTCAAGAGCCAAGCCGGATAATGTTCAGAGATGCGTTTGGATAATGATCGCTTTGTGCGGCCTATGTAACATGCCCCACATGAGCAAGTAAATTTATAGATACACATTGAAGTGGCCCAAAGCGAAAGTTTGTCCTTAACGATGAGATTTTTTATTCGATAACAGATTGTAAGATTAGTCAGCAAACATCAAGTGAATTCGCACTCAAATTTTCATATGGTAATCCAAAAATATATATAATCTAACGGAAATATTTTACAGAGTGTTTGACAGGTACAGAAAGTCCGAAAGAGGGAAGTGAAGAATAAGATGAAATATGAAAATATAAAAAAAAACTATGGACAAACTAAGTGTACCGAAAAATATATATGCGATCTAGTGTCAATTAAAAGTTAAGACATGTAAACAAATAGTTCAAAAGATGAATTTTTAATCAGATAAAAGCACTAATTTAAGATAATGTGGAATTCAAACAAATAGCTGTAATAAAATTATAAAGGCTTTTTTAAAAGGAATAATTGGAAGAAAGACATAAGCATAAATGAACTCACTTGGTCTGATGATCTTCTTACTCCCTCATAGATAGGTAAAATTCGACGTTTAGAAAATAAAGAATTGCTTTTAGAACCTCCCTTTGGAAAAGCATAGATTTCAATTACACATTCGAATTCCGATGTCACATCATCACTTAAGGAATTAATCGAAAAGGAAAAACCGATCAGTCAGTTTTATGCCATGAAACAGAATTATGTATTTATTCTAATAAGTCATTTATTTACACAATGATAATTTTAACCAATGACAATGTAAATAGACAATTATTTTAAGCTTTCAAAGAATTCAGTAACTTACGAGTTGTGAAACGATTAAAGGTACAGAGTAAAAGAAGTAATGTAATTCGATCAAAATAGCAGTGAGTTTGAGTACAAAACTATCACCGGTGTTCACTAAACTATGATGTCAGCATGTCATAATAGGTAAGGTGTAATAAAGTGCGACACTAAATGATCCTAATAAATAGACATTGAGATCAGAAGTCGGATCTCCAAAACAGTTAAACAGATTTAAGTGTTAGCTTCGCATGGTAGCTGGTTGTCAATACAGACTTAAACGTGATTTCGCTGTAGAAATTCATACGTATTACTGGTTTGGAACCAGGGTTTTCTAACTTCATTGGGTACATATCCTGTGTTCATTGTTTGACAACTGATTTTGCATACTTATATTCTAATTGTAAGTTGTGAATAAGACTAAAGCGACAGGATATACATAATACACATTCATACGAGATTTTTAGAGGAAATCATCACACGAAAACAAAACACTAACAATCCATGGTAAGGATATAAGTAATGAGTCCAAAATCCCTGACTCGTACAAATTCAAGTCAACACCAACTCACACATCGACGTATATTCAGGGTAAATATGAACGGAAAATGTACTACAAAAGCAAATGTGATCCTTCACGAACCTGAGTCGCTCTTTCTAAATTATTAGAAAGCTACAGAAATAAATTCAGATGAGAGAATATGAATATTAATCAATAAACTTGAGACACGTATTTCCATATGCAGTAAAACTTGAGTATGAAATAAACAATCAAGTCAATAATCTAACTATAGCAATAACTAATCAATAAGCCAATTATTTAGGTAACTTACAACGTCCATTTATCATTAAATTCAATATCTGCGGTACCAGGCTTGATATCGAAGATTAGCCGAGTATCTCGAATTATATGACCAACTTGGATTGTACAAAACAAACTGTAACCATCACATTGTTCACCACTATCTGAATAGTCCGCATTATCTCCAGAAGCATTAACGACAGCTGGTAGTAAACCGCTAACAATGCTAGACGTTGGAAATAACTGTTGCATAGTCAAATGCATGTTAGTCCCTGGGGCTATATTACGCCAGATCAATGGTATACGAATATCTATAAACGCAAAGTTCATACAGAATAATTCTGAATAATAAGACCCAACCAATTAGTGTAGCATAAACAAATAAGTAAAAAAGATATATGTATAGAACACAAAAGTACCATTTCAAAATAACATCCACGACTAAACTGTTATGAAAATAAAGCAATTATTAGAAATACTGTATTATTATCATCATTTTGTCTGAAACAGAGACAGGATACTAGGAATATATGGTAAATCAATTGATAAGGTTGTGCATATCCATTGACTGCAGTAGCTGGGACATGTATTACTTATCTCCAACTACTGTCGCGCGACCTTAACTGATTAGGTTGTAAGAAAGTTAGGGGTGGCCAAATCAAGATGTAGAATCGGTTAGCGAAATCAATGAATGTTTGACTTATCCATATCGATAGATGCAGACTATCTGGATAGTGTCGGCGTGGTAACGGCGAATAGTGAGTGAAGACTTTGGGTATTATGGGTCGAAATCGGTGATAGAGGAGTAAACTCATCCACTCTCATATCCATAGTAGACCATTAGCTTCAGTTTGCCCCCAAATGCCCTGGTACGGCCGAGGGTGGGGAGAGTCCGCTCTCCCTCTCGAAATGCTCTCACATGGCCACGCGTATATAGCCTCTGCCAGGAAAGTCCTACTCACTGCCTTCTCGTGGCGGGGGTGTTGTTTGCGAAAATGAGAGGACGAAAAGCGAATGTCCGGCGCTTTAACCGGATTCCAAACCAATGGTGCACATGGGCTCCAGTATCCTGCGGGAACAAATGGCGTATGAACCAATCGTTGGTCACCGGATACCATGGGACTGCATCTCCTTACGATGCTCCACTGCCTTGTGGATCAGACCTTCAGGTCGAAGGCTCGGGGAGTGGCCCCCTAAGAAAGCCACCTGCTTCGGTTTGGGCACCCGGGCAGTATCACAGCCCTCACACATATCGAATGAGATTTGTGTGGTGAATATGTATTTGGTGCCTTCTTACACCAATATCTATGTTAAAAATTAGCTTCAGTTTACCTACATAAATACCTTTTTTATCAATTTTTCTAGAGCTATATTTTCAATTTTAAACCCTTCTTATTATCACTAATATTGTCATACTGTATTAATCCTAATCTATTTTGCTAATTTCATCTTGTGGTGATTTGGTATGATAAACTGTTTGAACCGACATTTATGTCAGGCTCTACGTTGATCATTGCAGGCTGACTCATATTTAAATAACCGAAATGTTAACAGATAGGTCATTTGCTGGTTTGGTGATCTGCTTGCATCTGACAATGACATATGTTGATTTAAAACTCATTTGCAGTCCTTACACAACAGTAAACTTCCTAAGTTTATCACAAAGATCTTACCTACTAGTTTAAAAACTGCTATCTTGGGCGAACAAAACATCAAAATTAACACGGCTGGTAACGTATAAGTAAGTTGAGTTCGAAAATTAATCCACAGATAGAGAAATTAAATAAAACGAACTCAATTCACTAACAAATATGTAGACAAAGATGTTGAAAGTTAAAAAAGTAAAGAAATTGAAGTTCAGACAGTAATTTTATCACGACATCATTCATTTAAATCATATTCGAATAGTCAATTAAACACCCTAAAATATGAACCTGAGTCACAGTTTAATGAGCATAATTAGGGAAATCTCAACTGCAGCTAGATAAATCAGAAGGACAATTTACGGGGCGTGACGTCGCCAGGGAGTCACATATTATCAATTGCCTGAAGTTAAAAAGACTCAAAGTCCTCCCTAGTAATAAGATGTGAAAATATTCAGTTCAACTGTTGAGGGAAAGCTCGTGAACACGAAAGATATTAGAAACTAAACACAATCACCCAGTACACTCTAGCTTTCAGTATGTCTGTCAATATGCAAATCAACCATACTTGAAAAAGAGGATTACAAGTTAGTCACATATCTTGAAACATATACATCGATATTATTCATTATTTGAGAATATTAAGACAAAAGGTGCATATTCGCTGCAACGTTTAGAATAACATTTTAGATTTCATAGCTAAGATATTCTTCAATATACATAAACAAAGCAAAACTGTCACTCAGTAGTTTAGGATATATTGCTGTGACATGTAAACAATAATAACGAGTGGATAGTTTATGTCTTAATAGTAAAGAGAAAACGTTTCCGTATTAAGTAGGTAGGCTATAATTAGTGTAATATCGTATATTTAAATGTTATTGTGAAGAGTGAGTCTAATCTAAAGCAGGTTCCGAGAAGATAGTAAGTATCCCATGAAATAATACTAGATTAATGAATATTCATGGACGCAGAATGAAACACAGAAGCTAAACTCAAGGTTGATTTTAGTCACTTTTCTTTAAACAAAATGAAAGCATCAACTTAGGTACGAATACCTGATAAGCACAATTGAGCGTAGCCTGGCTTTGCGAAACACGATTTTCGTAAAACAGTCCCATTAAGGATTGAAGCTTCTCTAAGTCGTGTGTCGGAAAGTGTTCCGTTCGTGTGCTTGGCATCTTCAACCTTTTCACGTTGGATTAATCGCATACAACTAAGTAGCTGTGCATGACTGACAAGTAGTGTTTTAGCTGCATCAAGACGTTGTAGTGGATTCTGAGCGATCGACAAAATTCGACAGGCAGCAGCTCGTATCTTATAATAACGTTCCAAATCCTGCTGTAATTTAGGGTCCTTAAGAATATAACAATTATAAAGACAGTGAAATAGAGCGACAGAAATGTAAACGACTGAAACTTTTAGAAAAATTACAACGCTAGAGAGGTTTAATAGACTATGAAATTTATGAAATGAGTGATCTCATCTAAAAATAGAAAAATAATGACAAGTCCGAAAGGTATATAAGTACACTTTAGGAAGGAACAAATGAATACTCAAATACTTTTTTGGACTTGTACGTAAGCTTCAATGTTCAGAATGTTTGGACACGTATATGTATCCATAAGTTTTACTTAAATTTAATTGCTGAATATCACCTTTGGAATGTTATAGACTGAGCAAAAATAGAGTGCATATTGAGTTTTGCAACCAGCTTCAGTTTGTTTGGAATAAATGGAGTGAATATCACCCGATTCGGTAACCTAGTGAATTTTTGTACCGGGCTTTCTAGCAAGACTGAATGTATTAGCTTGAAGTACTCAATACAGTTTTAAGATTAAAACAATTCCGTAAAAACTAATGATGTACCACACAAAAAAATCACTTAAGAGGACGGTACTCAAACAAGTACGAAATCACTAGTGCAGTCTTGAGTGCTGTTAGAGGTATGAGGGCAGTTATCACTTCCCAGTTGCTCACACTGTGGAATGGTTCTTCAAGGGGTACCTGGATAGGAAATTGGATTAGAGTTCGTCTTATTGACCTGACAGTGTAACCGCAGTGCCCAAGCGACAACGACTTGAGGCCAGTTTCACACGACCTTTTGTGGGTAATTTTTGTGTTAGCCCTGTATTGGTCGAGACCTTACCACCGGAAACGGATAAGGCGAGGTGTGCATTGTTAAGGTTGACCATTTTTAATCCTACCCTTCTTTTTTAGATAAGCAGCATTGCTTTCATGCTGGTTGTCTGAGGGAAACACCTTACTTCCGTACCACCTCTGTACAATTAACAGTACGATTTCGCCCTCAGACCTTGGGTTTGTTGCATTTAGTCTTACCATTCTTCACCCGACCCACCTGACATGGTAGGACCTTGAGGAACGAATGTCCAAGCCAGTGTAGCCCGATAGGTTCATCACGGTAAGCAAGCCCAATCACTACCTTAAGGTAGCAGCAACGGTCGGGACAAAATCACTAATGTTGTCAGGTGATGTAATTCATCTGCTTGAAATCATATAATCTGAAAAGGTATGTGGTATGTACTTGTCAACTGAGTCTATCAGTGACAATGGAAAGCTAGAATGGTTTAAAAATTTAGCTCTTTGAGATGTCATTAAAACGATTTGAAAATTCACGTCACAATTTGTTCATCTATACATGATGCCGAAATTAGACGAGCTGACAGAGGAGAAAGCTGTTAACTATATGCACCTCCAACAACCAAATAACAGAATGTGGATCAACGAAGTGGTTCGTGCAATGAATAACTAGACTTGAGATATCCATACATGTAATAAAAAATTTCCAGGGTCTTATGTTACGTTTCAGTTTCCCACAATTTTACAAAAATGACTTACTGAACTTTTGATTTTCGACGGTGGCAACGGTGGCAAGGTTGGATCGGATAGTTTGGGTTTAGGGACTTTGAAATACTTTCGATTTAAATTCCACGATAAATGGGACATGGAAGATGAAAGTTTGCTTTCTCTGATTTAAGTTTTAAATTAATATGTAGTGATAGGCTGCTCATCTGTGGTTTAGAGCAATCTACCAATCAATTTTGCGAATTTATGTAGTGTGACATGGAATAATACCAAATGATTATTCTTTATACCGCTTGATACTTAATTATATCAGCACGTGATTAGAAAATTTTGTGAAACTATGAGTACATTATTTTTCGTAGCGTAAATGAAAAAAGAGATTCTCATATAATTTGGAAACATTACCAAACAATTTTTTAAGAAAACCTATTGGAATAGCAATTCTACATGTGTCTACTGACTTTTGATTGACAATTCAAATAAAATTTCGCTAGACAACCTATACAGTATAAACTACGAATTATTGGATTAACACTCGTCAAAAAATAGTGCCGTGAACTACAATCGAGGTTTCCTGTCCCTTAGAATAATCTCAATAACGAACATTGGTACGACGGAATGTAACTGCTTGTATCAATAATTTATTTTGCATATTATTCCGGTCCTGATAACACTCTGGTTACATAATATGATGTATGGTATCATTGGACTTGAGCAGAATTATCGAACTATTGGTACTTAGTAGACCGATTATCGTACTTATTCACACCAGATACTTCATTCCAAGATAACATACTAAGAAGTCCCAGCAAATACCGCGCTCGTTTTAAAGAGGGCAGTGATTTTTGCACTTGTCGTGATTATCCTTGCTCTGTGTACTTGTTGCACCAAAAGGCATTCTTGGTCTACTTTAACTAAAAGTACTTTGGTTAGGGTTTGAAATTTTTGCTAAACTTTGTCCTGTGGTACCTTTTTTTACTCATTGACTGACAGTCGTGTTCACATTGTGTTTTAAACCTTTTTAATCAAATTGCAATGATTAGTAAGACTTATAAATATGGACAACCAAACTGCTTGTTCCCCGTTGAGGAAGGAATGCAGTACGATTAATGTACAAAGTGGTACCATAAGATGTGTACACGTCTACGTCCTACGGCATACAAAAGATGCTCGAAGCCTAACTCGCATTGGCTTTTTACGTTTTGCTTTACAAATAAGAAGTTACTAATTCAGGAGGCTTTGAGCCTATTGGCTTTGGCCTGTAAGAAAAACGATGGCGGTTGCGCTGATAACACGAGTACTGATGGTGAAGAATGTGTCAGTGTAGTACGTGCTGCTACTGGACCCGCTAAACACCTGACTGTGATTGACGGGAAAGTGAAATCTCAGTTAACATTAATGAGGAGTGAAGTGCCGCTTGATATTGACATCGGTTATCATACACCTCTTGTGGGAATTGAAGATCCGGATAAAACGGTCACCGTCCAAAATAGTTCCGGTGTGGCTGTCCTGAGTGATGATGAATGGACTTCAGTATGGAGAAAAATGAGTATTAGATAATAAAATTCAGTTGACTGGTTTTTTAACCAGTAGGGCTGATAGATTAAACCGTAGGGGAGGCGGGGTTATTCTGTACACGAAAAGTGCCCTAACTATAGGAGTAGCTGAGACAGTGGCACATGTTTCAGGGATATGTGAACTGGTGTGATGTAAGCTGAAATATAGACGGCAAGTTATTGAATTAGTTGTAGTATATCGCAGTCCAGAATGTGTAGCAGATTATTTTTTCCTAAGTAAACTTAAGTCCTGGTGTAACACGGGTAAAAGCCTTGTAGTAGGCGACTTTAATGTACCGTATATAAACTAGGTAAACTTAGAAGTAGGGTCATCGATAACGTCGTTCGATTGCAAACTGTTAGAAGCCTCGATTGGATTAGCTTTGTTCCAACACATTAGAAACCCCACAAGATGTGACTTAAGAAACTCTTCTTCACTTTTAGATTTAGTCTTCACACACGGTGATGACGTTGGTCAAATGACTTTTCTCCCACCAATTCCAAGTGCCCCATCTGGAGACCAGTACTTAGTGGGGTACCTCAAGGTTCTGTCCTAGGTCCTTTACTTTTTATAATGTATGTTAATGATCTTCCAAGTATAGTACAGTCTCCAATGTTATTATACACTGACGATGTAAAGATCTGGCGAGTAATAACTGGAGACATAGACGCATGTGCTCTTCAGGCAGACTTAAATAATATTATTAACTGGTCTAAAGAGTGGCTGATGCCTATCAACGCGGCAAAGTGCGTCTACATGCACTTTGAGAATTCAATGGTTTATAGGTACAACATAGGGGAAGTGCCATTACCCATGGTCCGGTCTCATAAGGATCTAGGGGTGACAGTGAGTCATGATCTTAAGACGACGGCCCATTGCCGGGAGGTCGCAGCTAGTAGGTTTCGAACCCTCTGGGATTTAAAACGGACATTCACTAAGTTAGATACTACCATGATCACCACAATATACGCATCTTTAGTGAGAACCAAGCTTGAGAACTGCGTTTAGGCTGCAAGCCCCTGTTTAAAAGGTGACTCGGATATCCTAGGAGAAGTACAGAGGGTAGCTACCCGTGCAATTCCAGAACTCGGGGATTTACCATACAAAGAGAGGCTTGAAAAGCTGGACCTCTTTACTCTGTCCTCTCGCAGATTAAGGGGAGATCTAATTTTGATTTACAGAATACTGAGAAATGATTTTGGACCTTATTCTCTCTTTTTCTCCCCACAAGATCGGGACATCTTAGAGGACATAGCAGGCGAGTAGAAAAGCCAAGAACGAACAAAACACCCGTGGCATACAGGCTCTCACACCGAGTCATCAATATTTGGAACCTGCTGCCTGAAGCAGTGGTGTCCGCACCTTCAATTGACACTTTCAAGAGAAGACTGGACACTCACAGAAGCATACTAGAAAAGGAATAACATAGGTTGTAGGCCTTCTGTCCTTACTACACAAATCTGATCTGAATCTGGAATATCGAATCATTTTCTAGATTTTCTGTTATGGTGACTAGATGAAAATTTTGAAGGGTCATCGGGGAGGATGCAAAGCCAGCAGAAATATGGTGAACTCGAAATCGTAAACAAAGAGCAGGTATGAATCGTACAAGGCCCACTTAAAAGTCGGGTTTCTAAGACATGGGCGGATTTCTATGATGTGAGGGGTAATGCGTGGCTAAACTAACAGCATAGAATAAATAAAACAAGAAGCCGAACTGGTGAGACTAGTTTATGGACAACCGTTGAGCGACGCTAAAATGGCATTGAGTCTCCACTTAATAACTAAGACTAAATGAGGGTTATACACCAGTGTGAGGAATTAGAATTATGATTTACAGTTGACGGTTAGGAATTTGATTTATTGTTTTCATCACGAACTGAAATCAGCTATAATGCCGAACGTCTATTTAGCCAAATGGATGAGTTTCGCGCTAGAACTCGAGACCTGATATACTTGATTATAGTCTCGCCACCAAACTAACGATAGCCTTATTTTTCACAATATTTTGTCAAAAAAGTTGACAAGGATATTGATAAACAGTGAAGGATTTACTGAGCATACACAGGTAGAATGGGGAATAAGGACCATCAAAACAAAAATATTAAATGCCAAAATCGAAACGTTTAATGTTACCTTGGAAATTGTTCCTTTCCTAAACAAGCTTGCCATGATGACTACAAGCTACCGGTCGAATGACCGCTAATCATGGCCTTCAAACTAGAAAATTCCGATTGGCCGAATACCTAGACGGATCAATAACCAAATAGACAGATTCTATTGGCCAAAATAAGTATTTCAGATTTGGTTTGAGCTATCAGAACAATATTGTACTTCACCCAATGGCTGTACTTAGTCTTAACATGATGTGACATGCTTGTAGTTTTCACTAGGGTATTAATTATCTTGAAAGCGAAGCTAATTGTTTTACTGATTTAGTGGGTTTTTCAAATTTTTTGGTTGCTTGTTTGATCACGGTTATAAAAATCCAAGTTTGAAAAGTGGAATTTCATCACGCCAATTTGCGTGATTTTGTATCTGATAACGGTAAATAAAAAATATGCTCAGGAAAATGTGATATTCATAAATTAGAGCGAATTATCTTCAATAAATGCATATTTGACAACAATAGTGTACTGAAAATTACTGTCACAAACTCTTTACATTTACATTTAGTGTTGATGTTTTAGCGTATCAGGCTGTTTTCGACCAATGAATCTTTGAACTTATTTAGTTTTAATAGTTATTTGTCGAATCAGTTTGTAGATTTATGCATCCTGAAGTGTGTTTGATGTTTACGCTTTAATCAATATTTACCTCCTTACCAAATGGTTAGTGCAAATAGCAGTCACGGTAACCATAACCCTCTTTGAGTTTAATTACCACGTGATTAAATAAAAACCCGATAAGTGATGGTATTTTAGGATTTTAGTCGGCTTACGGGTGGGTTGGAATGTCGTTATTCCTGGAAAATCGACTAGACTATCAACATATGAATGTTTTTAACATACTCGGACAGTGAATGCTTCGAACACATGCAACAATACTGAAAACAAGATAGCGCGAAATTGTAAGTGTTGCTTGTAATCAAACACAAAATAAACTACAGTAGCTTTGGCAACTATGTAGCATTGACACATAATAAACTAACCTAAAGGTTATTGTACAATTATTCGGAGCCTGATATAGTGGCCAACCATTTTCGTGGGTATCTTTTTTGACGTCCGAATGAAATGAATCAGAGAGTAGTTGATTGGCAATACCACATTCCCCCTCAGCAAACCTGTATTGACTAGGAGAGCACTAGTGTCAATCATCACACTTGAATATATTTAGATCTCAGGGTTATGATATGGTATAAATCTGAAATAAGGTAGTCTACAAAAGTGAAAATAATACAATTTGGATTTTTTCTGTTATTGTTGGAAGTCAAACTATCATGGAAAGTAAGAATCATACATAACTGTTTATTTTACCAAAAATGCCATGTATGTATCCTATTGGGAACCAACGCAGGGACCCAAAGAAATTGTAACATCTTACGGAAATCTTTACAAAAAAAAAATAATTTATTTCTACTAATAGCCCCTTGAAGATGTTACTCAGTAAAAGTGACGCCATACCATTTTATTTGCTATCACTGTTGACGAATTACTAGAACAAGTGGACATACATTAAATCGTACGATTTCTAAATAAAAG